TGGCCACCACCTGGCCTCTTGCCTCACCTGGGGTAAAAGCAGCTGCCAATGAGGATCCTGCCTAGGGGGTACTCTTTCCCTTCCACCTTGACAGGTGGGGACACCATCAGGTTCCCAATAGAGTCCATGCTGGCCATCCTGTGGTCCTTGGTGCCTCGGATCATGTAGCCAACCCCTGGGCTCTGGAAGGAGACCCAGTGGGGCAGGGCTGTTAGGAAGGATGGGCTTTAAGCCCCAGTCTTACCCCTGATCCAGACTCTCAGGTAGATTCCCACACCCCCTGCCCCCAGAGCCACTCAGGCCCCCTCCCCCTTGGCACTCCGTCCCTTCTGGGCAGGCACCATGCCTGACAGGTTGGACGGGGTTTAGATCAGCCAAACCGAGCCCCACACCAGGGAGTATTTCATGGGGAAGTCGTCCAGCGTGAGGACCCGGGGGGTGTCGAGGACCAAGGAAAGCGTCTTATGGGGAGCCTGGGTGTAACAGAAGGCCATCTCATCCTGGAGGGGACAGGAAAAGGAGTTGAGTCACCTTGCGCCATCGGCTGCTTTCCTGCCCGTGTCCAGCTTGCCAGTCACAATGCTCCCTGCACACAGGCCACCTCCGGGGTGGGGGGCCGGGCAACAGGACCCCCTTCTGCCCACCCCTGCTTGGCCCCTGAAACTCAGCTCAGGCATCCCCTTCTTTGGGGCTTTTCCAGACCCGTTCTCCCATGCATCACGTTTCAAACCTGGGTCACCTAGCTTCTCTTCCTTCTCTTCCCTTCCGCACCCCATCCGCGAACAAGCCTTGGACTTCTCTCTGGCACCATTCGGGCGAAGCCACCGTGCTCTTGCCCAAATTACCCACCCCCCTGCAGCCAGTGCGCTTTGATTCTTGCCCCTTCCTAAGGCCGGTTCTCTAGTTCTCAGCCAGAGGGGGCTTTTTAAAACCTAAATCAGAACATTTAACTCTCACTTCACACCTTTCAATGTCATCCCACCTCATTGTAAACTCATTTCTATTCCTTACCTTGGCTTAAAAGATCCCTAATATTCGATCTGGCTCTTTCCTCCCTCTGGCTTTTCTGCTCTGATCTGGCCATACCAGCCCTTCTGTTCTTCAGATCCTCCAAGTAAACCCCCACATTAGGATCTTCACATCAGCTGTGCCTCTACCCAAAGAGCTCTAATGTCTAATGTAGCACCTACCCCCCAATCTTTGTACGGCCAGCTCGGTTTCCTGAATTTGAAGCTTTTCCTGACCACCCACAACGGCCTCGTTTGGGCTAGAGACTCACTATGGCATCTTGCTTTCACGGCACGGAGAGCCCCTGTCCTTGCTGGAGCAGGAGCATGATCCGTCCCATTGTCCTGTAGCTCTAGTACTTAGATGGTGGCCAGTGTATGGTCCTCACTCAGCTACTTGTGGAGAGGAGAGCACGAGACTTCAGGGCTCTGCCAGGTCCAGCTGGACGCTGGAGGGGGAGCCCTGCCCCAACAGCCAGGAGGCAAAAGTGCCAGACCTGTTAGCACCTGGGCGTTCTGTGGTCTCGAACACACACAGTCTGGAACGGGAAGAAGTTGGACTCTAAGCTATCCCTTAGTGGCTAGGATTTGGGCGAGCCATTCACCTCTAGTTAGTCTGAGCTTTGCTGGGCAGGTTGAGCGGACACGTGGAGCTGGTCAGATGCACCACCTGCAGTCTCCCAGCCCCTCCCCCAACAGGTGGGTTTTCCCCAGGTGGGGGGTTACCTGGAGCCACCTGCCCATGCGGTTGGGGTCCTCGTAGACAGATGCCACCTGGCTGTTACTCTTCTCGCTCAGCTCCATCACTGTGTTCACAAAACCCTGGACCTGCAGCTCTCTGCCATGGGAGAGAAGCCAACTCTGGGGAGCCCTTCAAGGCTCCTTCCACCCTGGTCATGGCCTTACTCTTCCAGGGACAGGGGGCACCTCCTCCTGGTGAGGAGAGATCATGCCCCTGGCCCCAAGGTAAGCAGAACTGCTGTCCCCTTCTTGCACTACCTCCAAGATCTCCATCTGGCAGCCGGTTCCAACACCTCCACCTCTGGCTCTAGCTCCCCCCTCGCTGGGACCTCTGGTCCTCAGCTGCTGTCATCCCCATCTTCCCCGTTCTTGGCCTTTCTCCTCACTCAGCTTTAGTTCTCCCCTCGCCCCTGTGCTTGGGCTGACTCGCTTGGCAGAACCCCAACCCTGGTTAGCCCAGTTCCACATTTCTTCTTCCCTAGAACTCAAGCTACTGGAAATAGTTGGAGAAAAGCCCCTGGGGACAACCGGAACTGGTCCTTAGCACCAGACAGCCATCCTCCTATCAAGTCCCTCATCCCCATGCTCTGCTCTCCCCCCTGGAGCCGCAGATGAGCAGTCCCCGTACCTATCTATGGGGACCTATGGACACGTCCTACCAGCTTGGTTCCTGGAGCTGCCTTTCCCCTCCTCTCAGATTCTTCCTGCTCTGCTAGATCATTCCATCAGCAGCATTCTCAGCTTCCCACCTTAAAAAACAGCCTCCCCTTGGCCCCATACCCCCTTCTCGCTTCCTATTTCTTTGGAGTTTTGCAACGTACTCCCTTCTCATTCATCTTTCCATGCTTCCAAAGCCACCAGGCAGGATTTCTTGCCGCACAGTGAGTGGCCTCCATCTTGCCAAACCCAATGGGCATCTCGTTCTCCTCTTGGGGTTTCACACAGCTGGCCCCTCACCTGGCCTCCCTCTCCCTTAACCTATGGGTCTCCACTCTCCTGGTTTTTAATCGAACCTCCTCTCCCTTCTTGGTTGTGTTAAATCACCCCACAGCTCACTGCTCAGCTACCTTCCCTATGTGCACTAGTCCTCAGATGAGCGTGGCTAGGCCTGTGGCTTTGAACATCCTCCACCTGCCAGGGGCACCCAGACTCGTCTTGAGCTTCCCAACTGTCCATTGAGCCCCAGAAGTCTAGAGACCCAGTGGGTGTCCCCAGCTTTAAGTCACCAGGGCCAAAGCAATACTCTACCAAGTCAGCAACGGCACCACCATTCACCTTCCTGGGGACCCCAAACCCAGGGGACAGTCTTGTCTCCTTTAGCCCATGCATCAGCTCCCCTGGGTCAGGGGAGGGGGGGGGAGGTCTGCCTTCAGCACACCCCTGGATCTAACGTCTGTGCTCCCACCCCCTGGCCTGCACCACTGCTATGTCAGGTTTGCACAATTGCAGTAGCTAAGCCGGGTCCTGCCTTCTGCTTGTGCCCCTGGTTTTCCAGGTGGCCGGAGTGCTTGTACAGATGGGACCCTCAATGGCTTCCCACAGGTTTTACCAGCCAGGGTCCTTTGTGCCCTTCTCCATAGGTATGTGGCCACCTGGCTTCCCTGCAGCTGAGAGTGACCGTCTGCAGGCCATGAGCACATGAGAAGTGGTTCAGGAGACTTCTAGACCTCAGCAGGGACTCATGACCGCTCTGCCCGGCTTGGACTCCTCCTCTTTCCTGGGGCGTGAACATGCCTGGGCCAAGCCTCTGTCGCAAAGATGGAGATGCCACCCCAGGGAAAGGCATTAGCACAAGACAGAGGAGTCAGGGCCCCTCTGTGACCGAACGCAACCCTCCTACCTGTGGCCATCTAAGGGGGAGAACGTGGACTTCAAACCACTGCATCTGGGTCTGTTACAGCCCCCGAGGCCCCACTGCCTTGGTCCTGCCATCCTCCTCCTGCTCCTGCCGGCTCATTCCTGGCTCTCTGGGCCCCCCTGCTGTCCCTGGCACACGTGCCTATCCTTACCTTTCCATCCTTCACCCTGCTTTCCAGCACTGGCCACTACCTGGAGCCATGCTGTCGTCCACCTCCCCATGAGAGCAGGAGGGGGACGGTCACATTCACTGCTCCGTCCCCAGCACTGTACAGGTTTAGACAGGACTCCAAGCAAGGACTATCTTGGGGATAGGGCTAGACAGTTCAGGCAACAGAAGCTCACTCTGCATGGGGAGAAGTCTAGTGATCTCAACCCACCCCCTCCAGCCCTGCGGATGGACAGAATACCAGGAAGGACCTGGCGCAGGCAGCCCGAGGGTCTCTTACCTGCACAGGTAGACCTCTAGAGGCATCTGGGTGCTGGGAGTAAAAATGCAAGGGGCCACCCGGAACACTACCATGTCCTTGTACACCAGGGTCTCTGGAATTGACTGCAACGTCACACAGGGTCCCATCAGCAAGCTGCTTCCGTGTCCCCTTCCCCCCAGCCACAGGCCTCCAGCTGTTCAGCCCTGCCCACCTCTGGGCCCTCCCCATCCTCTGCCAGGCACGAGACCCTAACCCTACCCGCAGCAAGCCTGGTCTCCCCCCGCCCACCCGCCGCCGTCCCTGTGCCGCGTGAGAGAGGCTTCCTCCCCACATGGCCCCTGGCCCCGGGGCTGCTGGTCTACCTGAGGGGACATACCGGGTCTTGCGATTCTTCCACCAGGGAGACAGAGTAGGAGATGAGGCCTGAGAAGTCGGCAGACGGGAACTCCATGGCTTCGACGTAGAAGGTTTCCTTCAGGTGGTTCTCAAGGGGGGCGAACGTATAGGTATGCTGGCCAGGCCCCAGCAGCACCTCAAAGGTGCTTGAGCTGTCTCCTGAGGACAGAAGGGATGGGCCAGCTGCTGACGTGGCCCGGTGCCCGTCTCCACATCGGACAGTGGGGGTTCCGGCTCGTTCCTCCCGACAGAAGCCAGGTTCGGAGCTCCAGCAGAGCAGGACCCAAGCTGGCTTTTCTGTCCCCGCATTTCTGATGCTTAGGGCTTAGGGGACAATTAGCATTTGTTCCCGAACAAGGGCCAGAGCTCACGAACGCTGTTCAAAGACCTATCCCACATCAAGGGCCAGGGCTTAGATGAAGATGCCGGCCTTCAAGGCTCTCGGTCCAGGGTGAAGGCCTGAGGCAGGTGGTTCTACCCTTGGACCAGCTTTGGGGAAGAAATCCTCAAAAGCCTCAAAGGTGAGAAGCTGCAAAGTTGGGCTTGGCAGCCTTATCTGAAAAACCAGACCCTGCTCGAGTAAGCACTAGGGAGGGGTCCGTGGGAATGGTCTGTCGGCCAGGGTAGGCCTCAGATCATTTCCCGAGAAGCTCAGGAAAGTTCCTATCGGCTGTTCAGAGCCTAGCACGTTCGGGTTTCATGGGTTGTGAAATAGAAAACCATGCACAGGAAAGAAGTTGACCACACCCTGCGGTTGTCTCTAGTTAATTCAATCCCGGATCTGTTTGCTCTCCATTTGCAGAGACCGTCCTGACTCGAGGCCACCAAGCTTCCCCACCTGACCTTCCTGCCACTCTCCTTGTCCTTCCGACCCATTCCCGGTGTGGCCGCCCTGCCCTGATGGCAGCTACTCCTACTTAGAGCCTCTAGAAGGATGCCAAGTCTAGGAGATCCCGGTCTAGGTTTCCCTGGGCCACCAAGGCCCCGAACCATCTAGGCACCGCATCCTCTGCAGAGCGCTCTGGTACCCAAGCAGCCAGAGGAACCACATGCTAAAAGACCCCACTTTAGGAGCAGACCAAACCTCACCACCACTCAGGAACACTATTGTCACACTGCCGTCCTACTTAGCGCTTCTGCTTCTCGGGTCCTCCGAGGGGCATGTTCTCCTCCCTAGCTCCCTCCTCTGAGAGGCGCTTCCTCACCTCCACCTGATCATGCCCCCTGCATAGATGTGCCGTGTTTGTCCATCTCCAGTCACTCCCCCTCCCTTCCAGCCCCCCAGTCACCACCTCCACACAGTTCCCTTTACGGCAGAGTCCTCCCACGTGCACGTCCACAGTCTGCCCACTTCGCTTCCAGCCCCGCATTCTTACCAAATTCATGAATGACCGGCATTTTGAAAACCGAGACGTTATCACAGATTTGATTAGCCTAGCAACAGCATCTGCCACGGCCGATCATGGCCCTCACTTTCCTTTGTTTCTAGAACTTCCTCTGGCTTTCTATTTCTCTGGAAATCTCCCCTCAGACTCCTTTGCTATATCTTACAGAACAATGTTCTCAAACTTTAGCCTGCTTCAGAATCACCTGGAGGGCTTGTGAAAACACAATGCACTGTGTGTCCCCGCCCTTTAAAAATTTTTTTTAACTTATAAAAAATAAATTCTACCCTCAACGTGTGACTTGAACTCAACCCCACAGTCAAGAATCACATGCTCTACAGGCTAAACCAGCCAGGCACTGTATTCTTGGCTTTAATTTTTAAGGGGCATCTGGGTGGCTCAACCTGTTAAGCATCCAACTCTTGATCTCAGCTCATGATCTCTGGGTCATGTGCTCGGGCCTCACATTGGGCTCCACACTGGGCGTGGAGCCTACTTAAATTTTATTTTTATGTAATCTCTACATCCAACATGGGGCTCTAACTCAAGATCCTGAGATCAAGAGTCCTATGCTCTTCTGATGGAGCCAGCCAGGCACCCCCTAAGTTTTTTGTTTCGTTTTTGAGTGGAAAACCCAACAGTTTGATATGGGTGATGAGCTACAACATCTTTAGCAAGCTATACAAGTCACTGCCTCCATTATTGGCACCCAACGGGCCACACTGGGCTAGAGCATCCCTGTGGCTGAACCAGGCTTAGACCCATGGGTCTAAGGCTCACTCCCAGCCCACATGTGGAAGGACCACATACAACCAACCTGGGCTGCCTCTCGTGGGTGGTCCCACATCACTTCCAAGTTCAGCTGTGGTCTGCAGAAGAGACGGAGCAGAAGACTGAGCGAGGGCCCCTGAGCGCAGGTGAGGGAAGCAGCCGAGGCATGCTCTCCAGTGCTGGAGACTGGGAGATGGTCAATCTACAGCAGAGCCTTCCCTAGTCGCCCAGCTGAAGCTGAACTTGGGTTTTAAGAGAAGGGAGCATGGCACATTTCTCCAGAAACAACGTTCAACCTCGATTTAAAGAATTTAGAGGCACAGAATACTAAGCCAGTTTACATGGAAAACTTGTTCATTCAAGGACATTTTGCTGGACACGTCTACCTCCACTTTCTAAACCAGCAGCCCTTGCGCCTTTATCTATAGAGCAGGAACGTGCACCTGCCTTCCAGGTTGGTAGGGCTACAGATGGGCGGGTGTGGTGTGGCGCCTGGGATGCACAAGCTCGCACAGCTGCCACGCCGCCCCTTGGCTTCCGAGTTCTGGAAACTCGATCTAGTGGGGCCTTGTAGAGGAGTGAAGACGGCCCCTTCTGGCAGGGGTAATTGGGAGAAGAGCTTAGCTTGTCTGTGTAAGGCCATGGCTTCAGCCAGTGCGCGTCTCTCCCAGCCGTGAAAACCCTACAGGACAGGCACTGCCGTCATCCCTACTGGAGAAGTGGTTGGAAGTACAGAGACTCACCCACATGTGCAGGCTCAGTCTGTGGAGGTGGCAGCCAGAGTGTCCCAGGGACACAAGCGTGGCCCCACCAGGCCCCCACCTGCAGCCCCAGGTCCCAGCAGGCCTCCGACAGGGTCCCTGCTGGGAACGACACGTGGCCACAGTGCCCCCCGATGCGTTGGAAGAGTAAGCGAAGCTGGAGTTGGTGCAAGAAACTCACTTTGGGGCCGGTAGACTCTGGCCTTCTCTGCCTCTTCCTCCGAGGTGTAGAGAACCAGCCGGTATTTCTTTAAAGCGCAGCCGGGCCCTTGAACATTCAGGGTCATCTGAGACAGACTCTTTATTTCTGGGCAAAAGACAAGGTAAAGGTTCGGGGGCCTCCGAAGGCCAGCACCGAGGAGCGGTAGGGCCAGGGGTGGGGCTCCTATATCGGGGCCCTGGGGACCCTCTGCCTCCTGTTCTGGCCTAGCCCTGCAACAGGTCTGTGCTGCCTGCTTCCCCACATGGCCACAGGCAACTTGCCGTCCCTGGGGTCTGCTAGGAGTTAGGACGGCACTCACCCCATACAGCTGGGGAGAATGCACAACCCCTACAAACACTGAGAACAGGGCCTGGCACGGTCCGCCCAGAGAGGGTCCCCCTCCAGCCTTGGTGTGAACCAGGGCATCCCTTTATACTGCTAAGACCCAGAACCTTGGTCCCAACCACAAGTGAGGACCAGATCCAAGACTGCTCTTGCCTAAGACAGTCGGGGTTCCTGGCCCAGGTCACAAGAGGGCTTTTAGGAAGATCTTCGCAACTCCCTCATGTTTAGCCTTCTCAACTCCTTTGTGAAGCCAGCTAGATCATCCCCATTTTACAGATGGCAAAACAAGACCAGGGAAGTTAACACACTCAAGTCCATAGCTAGGATATAAGTTTGTTACCTGACACCAGGACCCACACTGCTCCCACGGAGCCGTGTGGCCTCTTCCTAGTTACAAGCTTCAAGCCTCTGACAAGAGACTTTAGGCTCAGAGCGGGGACACCTCAGCCTGGAATCCATGTTCGCTGAGGGGTGTGACAGCAAAGCCCCAGGGAGCGGTAGACGCCGGGGAGAAAAGCGGCCACAGTCCCAGGACAGTGGCCAGTCCTTACCTTCTGGAAAGAACACCTTCGTGGTCTTGTCTACAATCTGGACCTTGTCAGCAGGGCTGCAGTTCACCAGCAGGATGGCACCCCAACCGCTGGGACCCCAGACCCAGTTTTTCTGCAAAGACGACAGGAATGTTGACTCAGGAAGAAGCCAGGGAAATCCTGCTTTCCAGATGCTACCCCGCATCAGGAGCAGAGCTGAAGCTTTCTCCAGGGTGACAGGGACCTCTTGGGGAACTCAAGCACTTAGAAGAAGCAGGCAACATCAGGGCAGTGGGTGGAGAGGCAGGGAAAAAGCTGGCTGCCGGTCACAGCTCTCTGCCTGGTTTCAGCGCTGGGGCAGCAGGGATGGAGGCAAACGGGAGGAGACCCGTCCCACGCAGGGAGCCTCTTCTGGTTGACCGAACAACCAGGCAAGGATGGGGACCTAGTGTCACCAGACATTTTCGTTTTTTTTGAAAGAGCTAGACACGGACTTCATCAATTCTGATTGTATCGGAGCTGTTGGACTTCAAAGACACCATGTAAGCCGGTCTTTGGGCCCGCGCCCTTCCCCAGGCAGCCTCACCTTAGCCTGCTTGTCACTCGTCATCTCGACCTGCCCACTGCGGTAGATGTCCACATCCAGGGAGACCACTGAAACAAGAGGGAAAGTTTCCGCCACCCAGACCTGCTGGACGGAGCCTCGAAGTGCCAGGTAACCCTAGGGGTGCCCAAAGCTGGGATCAGGGATCAGGGATGCCCAGCCTTTCAGGCATGCTGTCAGCTTAGAAGAAAGTTCCTCCAAGGCAGACTGCTTCTCTGAGCAAGTCTGGAGAGGACCAAGTATCCGCATGTCTCCCCCAACCCCCTGGGGGTTCACAAACCAAGTCCACTGGGGTCCGAATGCCATCTCTAAGCTCTAAGACTCAGGAAGGGCTCAATCCACAGCAATCCCAAGCCTCTTAGAGCTGAAGGATCCGGGCTCTGCCTGAGTATCCTCAGAGGCTCCTCTTACAGTCTCTACACTCCACCTTCCACTCCTCCCCACCACACACTGACTACCACACGGCTCTGCCCTGGTTTCATTTTTGTTCATAGAGCTTGTCTCCTGATGTGCTCCGTCCCAACTGGAATGCCATGGCCAGAAGAACAGACCACAGTCACTGCATGTACTTTGCCCCTGCACGGATGCTCAGGGACCAGATCCCTGCTACAAACCAGGTACAATTCTAGGTCCCAGGGCTCCGGCAGTGTGCTAGACAGGCCCGGTCTTCTTCAGTCTTAGGGAGGAGAGTGTCAGAGCACACACACCACATTCAACAGTGGCGAGGGGGTCAAGAAATAAGCAAAATGCATATTGTTTCTGATGGTAAAAGTGCCGTGGAAAACAAGGAAGGGGATGGGGGGGGTTGTTTCAGTTTTAGACGATCAGAGGAGTGTTCTAAAGAATTGAAATATGAACAGAGGCTGGAAGGAGGCAGAAAAGGGATCAATGTTAATATTTGGGGTAAAAGTAATTAGAACAGGAAGTGCAGGGTGGCAAGGTCAAGGGTCCAGAGGCCAGCGTGCCCAGAGCAGAATGAGCACGGAGAAGAGAAACAGGCCACAGGGCAGAGATAGATGAGCTCATGTAGGTTTTGTGGGTAAAAGGGACGCCAGCTTTAATCCAAGTATGCAGAAGCATTGGAAGGCTCTAATCCGAGGAGACGTTACCAGATATCCTTCTAAAGACATACTGCTCTGGGAGCCAGGTCAGGAGTGGACGGTGGAACAGTAAGGACAGAGCAGGGACACACACACACACACACCCAGGGAACCTGTGCAGTGACCCAGGTAAGAGGATGGTGGCTCGGACCAGCTGAGAGCATCAACGTGGCTTGTAGCTGGATTCCAGCCAACTTTGAGGAAACAGCAACAAGACCTATGGATTGACATGGGTGGAGGGAGAGGGAAGAGGGACACCCAGCATTTAGGCCTGACCAGCTAGAAGGGTGGACCACGGTCCATGACAATGGGCAGACCATCAGGAAGGTAGGCGCTGGAGGAAAAGAAAACCAATCCGGGTCCTCCTACTCTGCCACCATCTTCCCCGGAAGTAGAACCCGTTCCATTTGGGTTATATTAAAGATTGAAATGTTGGTTAGACACCCAAGAAATCACACTGGGTTAGCAGATACCCAAGTTTGCGGGAGACGCCTGGCTGGAAGAGTTTGGGTGAGTCCTCTATCTGCAGAGCCACAGGCCCACTGCCTGAGCTTGAAGCTGGGTGGTGGGGCGGGGGGGGATGAAGGATCCAGCAAAGGGACCCAAGAAGGAACAGCCGGCTAGGTAGAAGGAAAACTGGGTGCAGGGTCCCTGAAAGGTTTCAGGTAAAATGGGTCCAGAAAGGGTGAGCAGTTGTATTAAACATTGCTGCCAGGTCAAGGCAGGGGAAGACCGAGGACCAGTGGGCTTAGGGACCTCCATAAGGGCAGTGCTCCTGGTGGGGTCTGGCTTGAGACGGTACCAGAGAAAGGGAAGAGAAACGGAGGGTGTAGAGTTAGGGGAGTAGGGCTCAAAGACGATCCAGAAGCAGGTTTCAGAGAGCAGAGGTTGTTTCTTGTTCCTTAAGAGACTAGGCAGCATAACGTGCTCCTATTAAAGGAGTAGAGGTTCCCACTTGTTCTGGAATGATCCAGAAAAGGAGTTGGCGGGGAGGGGTAGTGGCTTCCTACATCAGTAAATTGCTGAAGGAAGTTTCTGAATGAGTGAGAGGGGAAAGGATCGAATGCGAGAAGGTTAACTTTGCACCAGACACACACCAGTTATAACAGGTGGTAGAATGCAGGTGGGGCTGAGGGTAGGTGGGTAGGACAACGGGAGCTCAGGGAAGTTCCCATGCCCGCTCCAGGAACGAGGCCAGCAGTGAGTGAGGGCGGCAGAGAAGGGACCATGAATGGGCATGTTGGGGGGAGTCCATCCAGGACCCAGGAGGTAGATTACAGGGAGAGCCCCTCGGCTCCTCTTGCTGCTACAGAGCTCCCCCCCCCCCCCCCGGGGTACGAGCACACTCACCAATACCCGTGAGGTGGAGCACAGCCGTGGCCACGGGGACGTCCTCGTCAGGCAGATAGTACGAGACCAAAACCTGTAGAGATAGCAGCCAGCACCCATGGGAGTGGAGGGCAGGGGGGCAGGAACAGGGGCTTGGGCTAAGTACCCACGTCCGGCCATTGGCCTTTGGCCTCACGTTACAGCTTCTGAGCTTCTGATGTCTGACTGTGAGCTGGGGCAGGGTCCTCCACGTGGCGGCCTGACTACAACCCTCCCAGGTGGGCTCTACCCTAAGGGCAGAGAGAGATCAAGGCACTTGCCCTACATTCAACCGGAAAGGGGTGGCACGAGCTTTAAGATCCAGGCTGTCTGGCTCAGAGGTCAAGATTTAGACTGGGCTACACATCCCCCCTACTCTTCCCCTGCATTCCTGGGATCCCACCTGTTGCCCCAGAGATGGGCAGTGGGGAAGCAGAGGCTCCCAGTGGTTCAACTGCTCACTCAAAAGCAAGTAGGACAGCTGGGGCGGGGCCTGGAATCAGAACGCAGTCTTTCCTGGGTCGTGCACCAAATCTGCTTCCAGAGGGCCTCCATACGTTAGACAAAGACCTGCCCTTCAGCCACTTGGCCTGGACCACAAAGCCTTCATCACAAACCAGAGAACTAGCCAACAGCTGGGGCCATGTTCTCATGCATGTGACCCACCACCTCTTCCTAAATGGAAACTTCTGTCCTCCAAGGCCCAGTGTCTCCCTCAGTGGACCACTCCTGACCGTGCTGGAGGCTGAGCCGCAGGCAGAGCATGCTTCTCAGGTCTCTGGGCTCAGCCAGGATGCATCACAGCTGCGAATCTTCCCTGTGAGCTAGGCAGCGATTAAGTGTTCTACCTGCCTCCAAGGGAGGTGCCCGCCCTGGGCAGAGCGCAGCATGGGGTGTGTTCTACCCATCTGTCACCTGCCAATCACCGGCAGACTATTCCAGCAAGTTCTGCCGACCGAGTGCCTTAGTCCTGAACGGGCCTCCGTGTTCTCACCCCCACTTCATGTTGGAGTCGGCTGGAGAGCTGAGCCACAGAAGCCAGGGGCCCACCCGGGAGGCTGACTTAATTGGCAGGAGGTGTGGTCTGGGCGCTGAGTGTTACAGAGTCCCTGGTGGTTCCAATCGCCCCATATGAGCCATCAGCTGTGACCACAGAACCACCACCAACGCCAAACTCAGGAGCCGGCTTTCCAAGGAGGTCACCCTCCCCGCCACCACCAGGGCCCCATTAGGGGAGACAGCTTGCCCAGGGGAAAGAACACGGCCTTGGGCTCAAATCCTAGATCTCTCCCACTCTAGTCATGTCATTCAGGTTGAGTCTAGAGATCATTCCGTGCCTCAGTTTCTTCGTATGTAAGATGGGGGTCAGGCCGACCTCTTGAACCAAAACTCCAGATACCCAGTACACAGCATATGCACTTACTACACATTAGCTCTTCAGTTTCCTTAAGATCCTCACACCCCCAAAGACCAGCCTTGGTCAAAAAGCCCATCTGAGTTTTGCTGCTAAGACCTTTGAGCCAGACTTGAAAAGCAGCTTGTTGGGAAGCTAGGCCGGAGTCGTGGTCAGGAGCCCAGGGAGGAGACAGATGTGCTGGAGCTTGAATCCTGGCTCTGCTGATCACTCCCTCCCTCCCTGCCTGCTTCTTTGTGTCCTGGGGCCATGGAGCACAGCCCTCACAGTTTCGGTGCGAGCACTGAACATTAGGCAAAACACCTGCATGTTTCACAGACTAGGGGCCCAGGAAACACCATCTTTCGGGAGGGAGCCCCCAGGCTTACCTTGTCACTGTCGATGGCGGAGCTGGGGGAGGTCATCTTCACCAGCACGTCTATGGGATGCGACAGAGGCCACCGGGTCGGGGCGGCCTCCTCCCCGCTCACTGCTGGGACCGTGTTGGGGATATCCACCAAGACCCCAGGAGAGCCACTGACCGTGAACGATTTGCACTTCTCCGGGGCACACCTGGTCGGCCCGACGAGGAGACAGACTTTAGGGCACAAGAGTCTCCCGTTCTCGGCCCACAGGGCAGCCGGCTTGGTGGGGGATGGGCCCTGACCGCAGCTCTCCTTAGGGTGTTGAGGCAGAGGCCGGCTGGTCAGGGCAGGTTTGTGGTCCTCACACAACTTCAGCCTCACTCCTACCTTCCCCCACTCCAAGGACCCCGTGTCCTTCCCCTGCTAGCTCTAGTCCAGAGCCTACCCTCCCGCCAAAGCTCCAGAAGTTACCAACGCTACACCTTATTTGTAAGCCCATGGAGGGAGGAGCCGTTTGTCTGAGCCAGAAAGGATCCCCGTAGGGGGAGAGACAGGACCTGGGCCTCGGGAGGTCCGTGCGGTGACCCTGGGGAAGACCCGGCCTCAGAAGCAAGTCAGCCCTCCTCCCCCCACATTAAGGCTCCATTTTACAGGAGCCCCCCTCCCTTAATCCTCATGGCCTCCTAGAGAGTCAGCCTCGCCCCCATTTCACCGGTAAGAGGACAGGATCGGCAAGGCACTTGTTCGTCTAGGGTTCCTTAGCCCACGCAGGGCAGAGGCAGGACTTAGGTCAGAATCCTACAGGGTCAGGACCGGGGGCCCTTAGATGAGGGGATGGGGCAGGAGCCAAAGATGCAGAGAAGGGAGGTGACCCCCGGCCCCCACATAACCTAGGGCCAACCCCAGTACGGGAACCAGGCGCCAGCCTCCCTGCCCGGCCCCGCCCCCCAGCCAGCCCCGGCAGAGCCCCCAGCTCCTCACCCATGGAGATCCAAGCAGATTTCCGTGCCCAGCACACACAGGACATGGACGGGGCTGTCCAGGGACAGGTGAATGATGCTCTGGAAAGACATAGCGCAGCCCTCCGAGCTGACTACCCTCAGACCCAATGACCCTGACTCAGCACAGCAACCTCAAATAACGCCAGGGCTCACCTGCGCCCTCCCCTCTTATGGGCTCAGGGCCTCCCCAGCCCAGCCCCTTGTTAAGGAGGCTTCAGCAGCTGCCCAGGTGTGGCTGATTTTCTCCACTGAGACTTGCTGGGGTGGGGGTAAGGGGGTGGTGCGGAGGAGCAGGTGGGGTCCGAGCCCCGTGGTCACTAATCTATCAGGCAGCTGGTTCCCGCAGATCCAGGGCATCTGAGGCTGGCTGCTTAGGTCTCTGGCCTTCAG